TGGTGGGAATTCGGGGCATGTGGATGGGGGGATGCCTGGGCAGGGGGTGGTGATGGCTGTGGGCCATCGGGGTGGCCGGGGGTAGCAGCCCCTCCGACAGCCAGGAATTACCCCCACCGCTCACCTGGCAGGGAACAGGAGTTAGCCTGAGATGCCCCTCCCACCCCATCCAGGGTCTGGGGAGAGGGGGCAGAGCCCTGGTGGGAGCAGGGACAAGTGACTCTGGCTGTCAGGGGTGGGGACAGCCCCTCCCTCTCTGGTGGGATTCCTGTTTCCTCAGTGCTCGTGCAGGGCCTGGGGGGTGGGGGCAGGCCTGGGTGGGATGAGCTAACCCACCAGTTAGCCGGCTTCCTCACTTCCTCGTGGAGGAGACTAGGACAACAGGAAGAACTGGGCACTGAGCTCGTGGGGGGGGGGCGGGGGGCTCACGGGGGCTCTGGGTAAGCTGGGCAGCTTTCTGGAGCCCCAGAGCAATCTGGGGAGGGCACTGGGGGGCTGCTTAGGTTGGGGGCAGCCCGTAGAGGGCCAGGCCGTTTCTGTGTGGGGGTGTTGGGGTGGCAGGGGTACAGTGAGCACCCCGTCAGGCAAGGGAAGCGACCTGGAACCCCCTTCCCAGCCTGCAGCAGGCAGTGGGGGAGACAGGCCAGAGACCCGGGAAGCCCCAGGCTGTCCCTCTGACCCTTCACTCCGCCAGCTGCCCGGCCTGGGACTCTCCTCTCAGCTGGCTCTGCGCCTACCCCTCCTGCCCCCTCCCTGTTCTGGCTGCCTTTGGATACAAGGCCCTGGGGACCGTCCTGCCTCCTGCAGGCCCCAGAGTCAGGCTCAGCGGGGGAGGGGGGCTCTCCTGCCCGCTTCCCGGGACCAGGGTTCTCGCCTCAACCTCAGACCCTCGTCCCAGCCCCACTCCCCTGCTGCCCGGCAGCCCTGGGAGGCGGGAGGAAGTATAGCAGGGGCCAAAGGCTGGGATCCTTCTGGGGCTGCCCCGGCCTGCCCCCGCCTCCCAACACAGTTTACCGGCCCATGATCTGGGGCCTTTGACGCGGGAGGGCGGGCAGCCAGGCGGGGATAAAGCTGGGCGGGGGCCCGGCGCCCCGGGACTCCAGGACCAGGAAGGCGGGTGAGTGTCCGTGCGCTCCCTGGCTCTGGGTCTTGTGGGGGTGGGAGGTGTGGAAGGTGGGGCTGGCGGGAGGCCTGGGTGTGGCTGCCCTTGGGACACACCTCAGAGAGGGGGCGGGGGGGGGGGCGGGGGGGGGTCGGGTGGCCAGGGGTTCCCGGGCCTTTGCTTGCTCAGCTCGCCTGAGCCTCAGTGGTTTCCTCCATCAAATGGGGCCGGGGTGGCCCTGGTGATGGAACCTTCTCCTTCCAGACCGTGCCGGAATGGACACTGTCCTTCCAAGCTCTTTTTTTATTTTATTTTATTTTTTATTTTTTTTCAACGTTTTTATTTATTTATGGGACAGACAGAGACAGAGCATGAATGGGGGAGGGGCAGAGAGAGAGGGAGACACAGAATCGGAAACAGGCTCCAGGCTCTGAGCCATGAGCCCAGAGCCTGACGCGGGGCTCGAACTCACGGACCGTGAGATCGTGACCTGGCTGAAGTCGGACGCTTAACCGACTGCGCCACCCAGGCGCCCGTCCTTCCAAGCTCTTTGATAGTTCAGTGACCCCCGGCCAGTGGCACAGGGGAGGGTGGCCTACCCTCCTGGCCAGCTGCACTGTTGATGGGCGGTGGGGTCCAGCCTGGCTCTTCTGCCCATGGGGTGGGGATATGCCGAGCCTCTCTGTGCCCGTGTCCTCTCTTGTTAGAGGTAGGGGCCACATCATTGGTGATCATTTATTGTTAGCAGGGCAGTGAAAGGAGGTGCTGTGGGGCCGGCCCGCCGGGCCCTCCAGCCAGCAGGTGGGACCTGTGGTTGGTTCGGCCCTAACTGAGAGGCTGATCTGACCAGACCGTCTCCAGCAGGTGCGGACCTGCACGCCACGTTCTCCTTTGACCCTTCCAGCGACTTGTGGGGCCATTTTAAATGCCCTTGTACAGAAGGGGTCCGTGGAGCTTCAGGGATGCAGGAACCCCTCCCCAGCGACTAAACGGAGGAGTTTACGGCCTATTGGGCCCTGAGAGTCCCTGGGCTCCGTCAGAAAGCAGGCTCCCGCCAGCGGTAACTGCCGTCTTACCATTCGTTGTCGGTAAGCGGCAGCTTGGATGGTCACTGGTTGTTACCTTGGGTTTGAGTGACCGCCTCGCCTCGAGGGTTTTGGAAGCATCCAGAGCTTTCCAGGTTGGTCGTAATTGTGAGCAAAGCACGAGTCTCTGGGCCCTAAGTTGAGGACCTGGTGGCTCTTCTGGGGCACGGTGGCGATTTTGGTGGCTGGGCCTCCTGGCATCTTCTTTGGCTGCTCTGAAGGCCTCGTGTACCCAGTACCCAGGGCCCCGCTCGGCACAGGTGAAGTTTGCAGGATTCATCCCGGGGGAGGGAAGAAGGAACCCGGTTCTAGGTTGCTCTGCTCCTTCTCCGCCTGGCCTCCGTGTACAATGGGGCCCACGGTCTTTGGCCTCAGGTGGGAGTGTGTGTGTATGTGTGTGTGTGTGTGTGTGTGTGTGTGTGTGTGGAGAGGTGGGGGTGGTGGAGACTTGGGGCGTAAAATGGGTTCCAGAGCCGGCAACAGTGGCGGTGGGCACTCTTCTCCGGGGCTCCTGGAGGGGGGCTGCTGCGATGCGCATGGGGTGGTCCTGCGTTTCTCCCAGAGATGCTCGGCTCTGCTCACCTTTTCGGAGAGCCTCCCCCCAGTCTTGTTTCTGTCTGATGCCGTTCATCGCCTGCTTATTGTGTGTCCCCCTGATGGGGTTTTAGGGTGATGGGGGGGGGGGGTTCAGGGCTGACGGCCAAGAAAGAACTCTTGAGACATCTTTGGTGCAAAAAGGTGGTTTTACGAAAGCATGCGACAGGACCTGTGGGCAGGAAGAGTTGCCCTGGGGTTGTGACAGGTGACTCATTATATACCCTCAGGTTGGGAGGGGTCGGGGATAGGGTAAGTCTCTAAAGAATTTTGGAAGCAAGGTTTCCAGGACCTTGAGGGTCTAGGACAATGCCGTTTATTACCGTTTAATAAAACCTCAGTCATGAGATCCTTCAGATGCATATCGGGGGCCATAAACCTGGAGTATGATTGCCAGCATACATCTTGGGGCAGTTGAGGTAAAGGAAGTTGACTTACAAGGTCCTCGAGGTTGGGGTAATGTTAAGCCAAGGTTCCCTTTTGTCCCGAGCAAAGTGTCATCATCATCGAGGCAACTGAGCTCCCAGAGGGAGGTCACCCTGCCTGTTTCAAGGACTTGTCAATGGGTCGTAGGCAGTAAGGGAACTTAGTTTTCATTTGCCTTAGTTTCCCACATCTCCACGGCAAGCACTTAAGCTCCTTTCCTTTGTTCTTGGGCAGCTAGGAGTGTCTGAGGAATATCCCACCTAGGGGGTGCCAGCCTGTATTTTTCCCTCTGCCTGCCCCATGCTCCCTCATCACCCCCACTGATCTCAACCCCAGACAGTAGACCCCCAGAGGGTGGGGTCATGGAGGTTCGTTCACCCCTGATTTCCGCTCCCTGCCCCTGTGCTCTCAGCATGGGGCCTGGAACAGAGAGGGTGCTGGGTGTGTGCACGTAGGAATGAAAACTCAGTGGGGAAAACCCCAGCAGTGAAGGCATCCTGGAGGAGGAGGGGGGAAGGAGGAGAAGGCCCTCACCTGGTCTGGAGGGTGAGGAGTATCTGGGGGCATTCTGGACAGAGAGAAAGGGTGACTGGAGGCACGAATCCTACAGGCCCTCTCTACCTCCTCCTACCTGTGAGCTGAGCATGGGAGGGACAGGGGCCAGTGGGTCAGGCTGGAAAGTCAGAACTTGGCTTGGGGCCATAGGGAGCCACAGATAGTGTGTGAGCAGCAGCAGCAGCAGCAGCAGCAGCAGGGGGCCGCCATTCTATCTGCTGGTCTCACTGTAGCAGGCTGGGGCACTTGGGTGGGTGGGTGACATGGGCCCTTGATCCCAGGTTGAATCTGGGGCTGGAGGTGGTGTTGTCTTCATTGAAACCCACACTGAGCTGCCCTCTGAAAAGCGACGGCGTGTCATGCCCATCCTGGTGGGAGAGGGGGCTGGCTGGTTGAAGGAAAGAGAGAGGGGGATTAGGGTCTGGAGACCCTCAAGGTCTCCGTCCTCGGATGGGGGAGCAGGGCGCGTGGGTGTCCCTGAGTCTGTGTCTCAGGTGGGTCCTAGGCGGTGCTGGGGTCGCAGCGGCTAGTGGCCTGGGCCTGCCTCTCAGGCCTGCATGGGGACGGGGTCAGGGACCTCAGGGGACAGCCAGGCCTGAAACTGTGGAGGGACTGTGCCCGGCTGCGTGGGATCCCGTTGGCACTGACAGCTGGGGCCGTGGCTGCCCCCAGCCCTGTCCTGTGCGCTTTTTGTGACTGAGTTCACGATTCCTGACAGTGTCCTTGTAAGGCAGCTTCTGTGGTCCTTCCTCCTTGCAGATGAGGGGACAGGCACAGAGAATAAGTGCCCGTGGTCACCTGGTCAGTAGCAATCTCGCTGAGCAGCTGGGCTGCTGTGGGTACAGGGGCAGGCAGTCAAGGCTCGGTCAAGGCATGGGGGTAGGAGGGTCCCTCGGGCAGCCCCCGATCCGTGAGGATCAGGCCGGAGCCCCAAGGCAGGAGCCAGGGGAGGGGAGGCTGGGCAGGTTGAGGTCCCCGGAACCCCAGTAGCCAGCTTTGCGGGTGGGCCAGGTATGACTCAGGCAGCTCAGTGACGGGCGGTGCTGGGAAATGCCACATCTGAACCCCGTGTGCGACAGCTTAGGAAACTGAGGCACAGGATGGAGGGAGGTCTCTGCGAGGAACCCAAGGGGCTTAGCTCCAGGAATGGGGTGACCCCTGGCTCAGAAGTGCTGCCTGCATGCGGGGTGCCCATGGGGTCAGGCTTCTCAGGACAGGGGGACGGAGGGGTGGCCGGCAGCCCCATGTGGGGGGCGGGAGAGGGTGGGCAGGCTGCCTGTTCCGGTGGGTGCTTCCCCTGTATTTCCGATCAGCCCTGTGCCTGGTGCTGGGAGACGCTCAATAAATATTTGTACATGGGATGAATGAATGAATGCATGACCGTGTCCCTTCCCCCTCAGTGAGTCCTGAGGTCTGGAGTCAGAGCAGGGGAGCCTCCGGAGCATGCAGGTGGCTGAACACGCTCAGACCCCGCGCTGAGGTGGGGGATGGGCAGTGGGGGTGGGGGGTGGGGCTCCAGACAGAAGTGGGCATTCCCTCACGTGCTGGATACATGGAGGCCGGTGTGGCGCCGTGTGATGTCACAGGCAGCCCGTCAGCGGTGGCCACACCTTCCAAGCCACAGAACTCCCCCATCCTTGTCCCCAGCTGGGAATGCCCAGGGGGCGTGGACCGGGCTGGCCATTACCAGGGAGGTTCTTGTGGCACCTGCTGGGTGAGTCCCGTCTAGGTGACGGAGGCCTACGGTGGGCCTGCCAGGCTCCGGATGGCCACAGGGTCGAGGAGTCCCAGGATGCCCTGTCTGGCTCACCCGGCTGCCTGCCCACCCAGCCACTCTGTGCCTGCCGTTCCTGACAGCTGGGGTGGAGCCCAGCAGGCTCACCCGAGCTCTCGGGGTGCCCACCTGCCTGCACGTGGGTCCCCGGTGGAGCTGCGGCCTGCCCACCCAGTGCTGGTGGCCGACGGTCCTCGAGGGCGGCCTTGGGGCCAGCCGCTTGGTTTGCTGAGCCAGCACCACACCCCCCGGGGCACCATCAAAGCCTCTGGTGTGATGAGGGGGACCCAGCGAGGCCGAGGGGCAGCGGGCCAGCTCCGGGGAACCTTCTTGCCGGGCTCGCCTCCACCTCGCGATCCTGGCGGGTGGGACAGGTGGCCGCCCCCGTGGAAACCGAAGCCTGCTCTCCAGGGCTCTGCCTCCAGGTCGTCGCCTGGGTGCTCCGCGGTGACCGGCCTGGAGCTGGCGCCAGCTCAGAAGGTGGCTTTCCTCCCTGGCAGTGTCTCCGTTTGTAGAGGAGGCCGCGCGCCCCACAGAGGGCAGGCCCTGGCTCCGGGTCGCAAGGGGCGGGTGGTCAGGGCAGCGGGTCAAGCCCTGATGAGGCTCCAGGCGTCAGGAGCGTGCCGGTGCCCCTGCCGCTGGCCGGCTGCTCCAGGAAAGCCTTCCCCCGGTCACCTGAGCCTCCGGCTCTGCCCTCGGCAAGGCCCACTGTGCTGGCTTACTCTGCTCAGAAGCTCTCCTCCTGTTGGTCCCCATCCCGGCTGTGGGCACTCGGCAGGCACTGGAGGCAGAACCCGGTTGTTCGGGTTGCTGCCTGAAGACAAAGAGGCACTGCCAGGGAGGAGTAAGCTCCCTGTCGCTGGAGGTGTGCAAGCTGGGCATTAGGTGGTGTGGGTGACCTTTGAGTTTCCTCTGGACCTCAGGGGGCTGAGATCCCGTGATGGGTTCTGGACATTTCTCACATCTGGACCTCTGCCCAGAACGCTGGGTCATTTGCTCCTTCCGTAAACAAGTGGGGAGCCCTCTTGGTGCCAGACGCCGTGCGGGAGGCAGGCTGGGCCTGGGACACTCTGCTCTGAAGGGCATGTGGCCGAAGGGAGAGTGGGCCGGACAGGGACGGCGGGGGAGGGGGAAGAGGGTAGCAGTGCTTGGTCAGTGAGGGCGGCTGGCCCCTCCGTGCTGTTGGGTGCAGGGGCGGGAGGGCTCGGGGAAGGTTTCCTGGGGGATCAGGGTGGGCTTGGCCTCTCGGGACCCCCCTGCTGGCCCCCCAGCGGCATGTGGACTTGGGCTCGCTCTGGGAGCCTTCCAGGAACGGCTCCTGCTCTGATAAAAATAGACTTCTCCGAAGGGCTTGGTGTTGTGCCAGCTGCCGCAGGTGCCCCCCCCCCCCGCCCCCCCGGCCTGGCAAGAGCGGGTGCCCCAGACAAGGGGGAACCGTGCTGCTGGGCCCGGGTTTGCTGCCTGCGTGGCACGGGGCTCTCTGTGTCTCGGGTGCAGTATCGAGAGCTCGATGGGAACTTGTAAGGACAAGGAAGCAGACGAGGGTGGTAGAAACAGCCTGCTGGGGGGGGGGGGGGGGGGGGGGGGGGGGGCCTTTCTGCCCGAGGGCCAGAGTCGGTGTGAGCAGGGTCTTTGCGGCTCAGCAAAACGCGGCCCCAACCATGGTTCTTCCGCTTGCTGGCTGTGTGACTTGGCGAGTTACTCAACCTCTCTGACCTGCTGTGTTGGATCGGTACAGCGAGGCCCACGCGTCTTGCCCATGGGGTGCAGCGTCTGGCATAGCATCGGAGGGAGCAGACCTTCCGGAAGTGGCCAAGTTGGGATACCGGGGTGGTGGGGGTGTCACTGGGCGCCCAGAGATGGCCTCCTGGAAGGTGCTGCTGGAAGTGAGGTGCTCAAGCATGTTGGTGCCGGACGGAGGCAGGAGGACAGGAGCCCTTGGCCTGGGGTCCTCGAGCTGATGGGCGGGCCCCGGGCTCGGCGGGGGGTGTACCTGTGTGTGGGGGCTCCTGTGGGGCCTTTGCACCCAGTACACAGTCTTCCTGCCTGCTTGCCTGGCTCAGGGGTGTGAGGAGGCCAGGGTCACGGGCATGGCTGGTGCTCTTGTCCCCAGTGTGGGGACAGCCTGCCAGGGTGGGGGTGGGGCTGTGTTCTGGGCACTCCCCCCCCCCCCCGGCCCCTGCCCGGCCCCGAGGCTCTGACTGCTGCCTGCAGGGGCCAGGCTGGCTGCTCAGCTGGGTTCCCAGTGAGGTGAGGCCTCCTGGGACCTGGTGTGCCAGGGCCGCCCGTCTCTTATGGGGGCCTCTGTGCTGCCTGGGGCAGGTACGGCCTTGATGTGAGGCCAGCCTCCACTCTTGAGGCTCGAGCACCTTCCTTACGTGGCGCTCCCAGGAGGCGAAGCCAGGACCCTGCTGGTGGGGGTAGGCCTGAACACCCGGACAGTCTCACCTGGGAGCGTCACAGAGGGGCTCTCCTGAGGGGAGGTCTGCACTGAGCGTTGGAGGATGAGGGGGACGTGGAGACAGCTCCCCGTGTGACCCTGCGTGGGCTCCCAGCCCCCGTGCCTCAGTTTCCTCACCTGCACACACCAAGGGGGTGGGCTGGATGACAGCCCCCCCCCCCCCCCCCAGCAGTGGTGAGGACTCAGGGAGGAACAGCAGTGTCCCGCACACAGCCAGGCACTCAGGAAGTGGGAAAGCCCTCGGGGTGCGGTCCGGGGGCTGGGCAGGGGTCTGAGCAGGTCAGGCGAGGGGCTCGGCCCTCACCTTGTGGGCGTCCCTGCCCCACGGAGTGCCCCACCTGCAGGCCTTGGCCGGTGCCCAGGTCCCCTCCGGCGCCAGCCCGTGTAGTCCCCTTCCGCCGTGGGAATCCCTCCCGCGAGATGGGGCCCTGGGGAGCCCCAGAGGGTGCCGCAGAGGGCCGGCGGGGAGGTGACGGGCTTCGGCTCCCGCGCACGGCAGAAGGCAGGCGTCTCGGCAGGGGCCCCGCCTCGCAATGGTCAGCCGCCCTCCCCTCTGCTTGCATTTCCCCTTCCTCCTGCCGCTTCCTCTCCCCTGCTCGGCCCTCCGCAGCCCCTTTGTTCGCCCCGGGCACGCTGGCCGGCCCACCGTTATATTTAGGCGGCAGGTGTGGGAGCCACAACAAGTCGGGTGGCCCTCCTGGGCACCAGCCGTCGCGCCCACGTGATGCCCGGGAGCTATAAATAGCTCCGGGCCGCGGGGCGCCCAGCATCCCGGGGAGGCCGACGCGCCCCGACCTCCGAGCTCCCAGCTCCGGGGCGCCCTGCCCGGCCCGCGCACGGATGGAGGCGGCGGCGGGACGCCTGCGCTTGCGCGCTTGAGCCGGGGTGAGCCGGTGCTGGCGGGGGGCGTGCCGGGAGGACCTCAGCGGCACCCCGGGGAGGGGGCCCGCACCCCTGGAACCAGCTCCCCCCTCCCCCCGCGCCTCGGGGCTCACGCAGCACCGGACGTGGTGGCCCCCACCCAAGACCCTACGGGATCTGCCGGGTCCCAGCCCTGCTCCCACGCTTCTGCTTTACTTCTGGGACCTCGGCTGAGCTCTAATCCTCTCGAATCGCCCCACATCGGGCAGGGGCCTGGGTCCAGAGGGGCTGGCCCTCACCGAAGCGGATGCAAACTGGGCAGGCTGTGACCAGGAATGAGGGTTGTAGCCTCCCTGAATCTCTTAGAAACGGGGGTGGAGGTTGGTTCTTGCCTCCTAGACGGACTGAGAAAACCCACAGAGCCTGTTTGGTCAGGGCCCAGAGACCATCCTGCCTTCTCTCCCTGGCCCCGGTTACTCATCTGCAAACAGGGACGACCACATGGTCCCCTAACTGGTCTCCAGTGGACGACCGCTGTGAACGCTCAGAGGGTTCAGTGCCGGCAGGTGGGGGGAGGCCGGCTGGGTCCCACGAGCTCGGGTGTGGGGCCACTGGCAGGAAGGCCCATGGGGAGACACCCAGCTACCAGCTAGGGGCCCTGGGGCCTCACTGAGGGGGTGTGGCTGGGAGGAAGGGCCTCTTCCTGGGGGGATGGCCACAGGCCTGGTTGAGCTTTGTGGGAGCACCTGGGGCAGCAGGGGTGAGGCATCGCTGCCTGCTCCCCGCTGGGAGTGGGGGACCCAGACTCTGCACAGACCCCACCCCAGCCTGGGCAGTGATCTTCGTCCGACCTCAGCCCAGACCCGTGACCCCATTGTAGCCTATATGCTGCTCCCTGTTCCCAGCCAGTCTAACCCCTCAGCTCTGCCAGTCGGGGACAACTTCAGGCTCAGGTGGATGGTGAAGCCTGCCCAGCAGCCTTCAGCCCTGAGGACCTGTTCGGGGATCCTAGGCAGCAGGGCTGGGCCCTCTGCTGGGGTCTCCCCGGGTGCCCAGAGGTTGGGGGCAGTGAGGGGGCAGGTCAGCCCCTCAGGGAGAGGCTTGTAACCCTGTGGTTCTTCGGGCCTTTTTTCTTCTTTCTTTCTGGTAAACACACACACACACACACACACACACACACACTCGGGAACATCCTGCTGCCCCAGGAGGAACAGGTGTTTGTGTGTTCAGGGCGCCCTAGGCTCTCTCCTTCCTCACCTGCACTCCAAGCGGAGGCTTGTGCTGGGACAGCTCAGGTTTGGGGCCGCGGCTTCCTTCCCTCTGCCTTTCTCCCCCTCCGGGGACACTTCCCATTCGGCCCTCCTAGGGCCATGGCACAGGACCGAGTGTGAGGTGTGGCACCTGCCCTAAGCCTGGGGACACCTTTCCTGTCCGGCGGCCCAGGCCTTGGGCCCTTGCCGCACCTAGGCCGAGCCCCCATGGGCTCAGCTTGCCTGGCGGACGGCTGGAGAAGGGGGTGCTGGGACGGGGGCAAAGGTAAGGGGTGCTGGGTTGGGGAACGGAGGGCCTGCCCAAGTGAGCAGATAGGGTGCGGCCGGTGGGGCTGGGGCCACTCCCAGTGGCCGGAGGGGTCCGATGACCACTGGGTCACAGCCTGAGGGGCTTCGGGGGCATCTTGTATAACCCCTCATTGTGCAGATGGGGAAACTGAGGTCATTGGTGTGCCCGCGGTGTCCCAGCCCGTGTGGGGGGGGGGGTAGGGGTGGGGGTGGGGTTGGGTGCTCCTGCTGGGACCCCAGCCCAGGAACTTTGGGGCCCAGGGAGGGAGAGAGGGGTGTGTGGTGGTGCTCGATGGTGGTCTCTGTGGCCCCGGCCGCTTCCCTCCCTGCGGCCATCGCAGTGTGACCCACTCCTGGCCACCTGCGCGGTCACACCTTGGCAAGCGTCTCGTAGCCAGCTGGCCCTTTGGCCGCTGTGGTCTGCCTCTGCTTCTCCAGCTCCCCGCGGGCAGAGCCCGGTTTGTTTACTCCCGCGCCCGGCCGGCCCTGTGGGTGAGCGGTGGAGACAGCGGAGGGGTGGAGGTTCCCACGGGGCACCCGTGAGACATGTTTAAGGTGGTTTGCAGCTATGAGCCGGGCCGCAGTCCTCTCTCCGTGCTGTTTTCCCCGGTCACTTTAGCACCCACGCTTGAGCCCCTTTCCCTGAGGACTGGCCGCCCCGGCATGATCTGGGCTCAGAAATTCCCCAGAGGCCCGGGATTCCACAGAGCAGTGTGGCTGGGGTGGGGGTGGGGTGTCTGCTGGTCAGCAGAGGGGGACCCAGGCTGGAGGTGGGGGCAGCCTCTGTTGCTATGCAGACGGCCCTGAAATCTGCACACTGGGTTAGAGCCCACTCGTGCGGCGTGTGTCCCTGGGATCCCTCCCTCCGTCCCTTTTCGCTCTACGCCGGTGGCGGTCGGGGCTGTGAGCCAGACCTGGCGGGAGCTGTCAGTCCTTGTGCTCCCAGGTGGGGGAAACTGAGGGCGGAGGAGGGTCACTCGCTCAGCACGGTCCTGCGGCAGGGCCCCAGGGAAGCATTGACTCCCTCGCCGGGGTGGGCAGACTTGCGCTTCTCACAGGAGACGGGGGGCTCCCGGTGACGCCCTTTTCTGTTCGTTTCCTCTCCTGCAGACGTTAGCCTGCTGCTGAGCGGCCTGGGATTTATGGAGAGGACCTCGGGGGGGCAGCTCTGAATTCTGCCCGGGCCCAACATCGCCGCGACGCCTGCTGCCGAGGGGGCCTGCGCGCCTCTGGCCCTCACCATTGCCCTCGCCCGCCGATGTTCCCTGCTGTCCGGCCCAGGGCCGGCTGTGCCGCCTGAGCCCCCGGGCGCCCTCCAGGACTCGCAGTACCCCGATGGGGTAACGTGACAGAGGCCCTGTGTGTCAGAGCCGCCCGCCCCCGCGGCCGCCGCCCACCCCCACCGCTGGTCCAGTTCAAGTTCGGTCTTCCTTCGGCCCTTGAGGGTCTGGGGCCCGCCTTTGAGCGCAGGGGGCCGCTTGCCTGTCCACCGATGCAGAGGGGGCGTCCCCAGAGGCAGGCAGTGCTGGACGGAGCCACGGCGGCCCATTCGCTCCGGGCTTTTTAAAGTTTGCCTCGCTGGGTTTTTGGTTGCCTTTACTTTTACTTTTGCTTCTCTGGGGCCCGTGTCTTTCCCTTGCTTTGTAAGGAGCTGGACTCTGCTACTCAGCCCTTCCGCCTCCGAGGTGTTTGCAAAGCATCTGTGCGGCTGGGGCGGGTTTGCAAGGGGTTTTCTGTGTCTCGATCAAGCCCAGGGATCTCGGTCTCCTCGGGCTGTGGGGGGGGGGGGGCAGGTGGGGGCTTCTCCACTGCGGCCCCCAGCCCCGTGTGGGGGCTCCCTCCCTGGGCCCCGCCCGGTCCTCGGAGGAGCATGGCCCGGATGAACCGGCCGGCCCCCGTGGAGGTGAGTTACAAGAGGATGCGCTTCCTGATCACGCACAACCCCACCAACGCCACGCTCAGCACCTTCATTGAGGTAGGTGGGGCCCGGAGGGGTGTCCGCACGCCTCCCGAGAGCTGGCGGGGGTGGGGAGCGGTGGACTTCGAGCCGTCAACCCACACACTGCCTTTGGGAGCAAAACTGTGGCCCCGGTTATAGGACCCCAAGGCGGGAGCCCGGAGTGTCCTGGGGAGCTCGGTGGGAGGGCAGTCGTGGGGTCAGCAGCTCCCTGGGGGCCTGCAGGGCAGGACGGTGTAGGGCAGGGGGTAGGTGCTCCATGCTGTGTAAATTGAGGCAGGCTCAGAGGTAGGAGAAGCGGGCATCAGGCCCTCAGGACATCGCCTGCACTGGAGCAGAGGCTGCACGGGAAGGACGAGGGAGGGGTCCCGAGGTGGGAAGTGGCTGTGGAAACAGCTCGAGGCAGGCAGAGAGGCCCACGGCGGCAGGCGGAGTCAAGTTCCATGGCCAGCCCAGGCTGCAGGAAGCCTGCTGGCTCTTAGGGAGCCCTTGGGTTAGGACCGGCAGGGCCGGAGGCTTCAGGGTGAAGATCTGTGGGGGAAGGGGCTGGGTAAGGGTCTGAGCTGGCCACAGGAGGAGTGGCCACCGTTGGCGTGACCAGAGGTGTTTGTAGAGCTGTGCATGGGTCTCAGACCCTCCTCCCTTCCCTCTGTAAGGTGAGAGCTGCCCCCATGGTGCTTGTCATAATGAAACAGGGGCCTGGGCGGGAGAGGACCCGAAACACTGTATAGAGGGAGGCAGTGGGTGCCCTGCCATCAGGGGCCTGGGCCTGGACACTGCCAGGGGCCCTGCAGACGAGGGCTGCCCCTCTTCACAGCTGACACCCTTGAGGTAATAGCAGGACGTGGGGAAAGACTCAGCCCAGGACTCGGCACAGGACCCAGCCTGGGGTCAGGGTCTGTGTGTGACCGGGGTCAGGGCCCAGAGTGTGACCGGGGCAAGGTCGTCTGTGGTGAGGGTCAGGGCTCAACCCTGGGCTGTGTGGCAGCCCCTTTGCCACACGCACAGAGGAATTCGGAGGTGGCCCTATGGCCTCCGGGCCCTGTCCGCCTTCCTGTGCCCCCCCATTCTCAGAATCGCTGTCCTGCCTCATTGTGTCCAGTGTCCCTACCGCACGATGAGCAAGGTCTAGCAGATGGATGACTCGTCACTGCTCCCAGAATAGCTCTGGAGCAGGTGTGGTGGGGGTAGCCCCTGCCCGTGGCCCCCGTGGAGCAGACCCCCCGCGTAGAGGATAAATATAAACAGCCTGGCTGTGAACTGCCTTGACCTTTCCTCTGGTAGCCTGGGGCTTCCCCACCGCTGGTGCCCGGGGTCTTGCCTCCCGGCCGCCATCCGAGCAGGTGCCGGCCCTGTGCACCGTGAGGTCCCCCGCCCGCTGAGGCCTGCCCCTCAAGAGTCTGAAGGCCCTCGTGTGGGGTCCGGCTGTGCCCTCAACTGGACCCGTCCACGAGAGCCTGGCCAGGAGGCCAACTCAGAGTGGGGACCATGCAGGGCCACGTGCGGACCACAGTGTCCTGTCCCTGCTTGGGGACCCAGGAGCTTTGTCTGGAAAATGCTGGTACGGGGCGGGGGCGAGGGGGGGTTCCCGAGCACCCAGGATGATGGCAGAGATGTGCTGGGAGGCCAGGCTCATGGCTGGTTAGCTGCGATTGCAGCGAGGGTAGGCGGGGACACCCTGCCCTCACCGGGTGGGCTCAGGGACCCTCGCCCAGAAGCATCAGGAAAGCCTCTTCTACCCACAGCAAGTCGTTGGGCCCGAAAGGCCGCCCTAGTGGTTACTCTTGGCATCGGCCTTTCTGTTTTGTTGTGGGGGGGCCGCGGCCCTGCCCTGGGGGCCCCAGACAGGGGGTACCCACCCCGGACCCCTCAGCCCCAGCCCGGCCTGCCTTCGTCCTCCCTCCCTGCCAGGACCTGAAGAAGTACGGGGCCACCACCGTGGTGCGGGTGTGCGAAGTGACCTACGACAAGGCCCCTCTGGAGAGGGACGGCATCACCGTGGTGGTGAGGGTCTTGGGGCCCCGGTGGTGCTGCTGCCGCCCTGGGGGAGGTGGGTGGACGGGGCCGGCCTGCACTGTGAGCTTGCCATGAGGCGGGCCTGCGGGGCCCCGCTAGGGCCACCTGCCCCCCCCCCCACCGCCCCCCACCGTCACTGCACAGCAGCCCCCACGTGGGGCTCTGTCATGGAGAAACCGAGGCTCGGGTCAGTCACCATCTGAGGCACAGCCAGAAGGTGCCAGAGCTGGGACCACGTGGGGGGGGGGCACCTTCAGGATGGCACCCCATCCCCATCAGGTGGCCGGCGGGCGGGAACGAGACCTCACTGTGCAGGGGTCCGAGCAGGGTGGGACAACCGGGGGTCCCACGGGCTCCGTGCCGGCTCCTCCGTGTGCGGGCCGCCTGGGGGCTCATCTCAGGCTTGTCGGTGTGGGAACCGTATGGTGAGGAGGGTGGGGCAGGCACTCCTGCGTGGCCCCTGGGGAAGCCATCCACAGAGGCCCAGGGGAGGGAGCCTTGGGGCTGTTTCTTTGGTCCCTCGGCCCCGGGGACCCGAGTCCAGGCGCAGGAAGGGACGACCGTGCTGCCACACGCCTGTGGGTCAGGCCACGTGTGTATGGCGCGTCCCCTAGCGCAGGGCTGCCCAAGGCACAGGGTGGCGGGGTGGGGGCAGCTCTGGGTCCGGTGGCCTCGGCCTGTTCAGCGCCAGAGGACCCCTTAGTTACTAGCTTCCCCTCAGCGAGCCGCCTCCCGGTCCACCTCGGGGGGCCCACTCGACTCACCTTTGGTGCCCGAGGAGCGGTTCCCCTCTGCCCCACGTGAATCTCCTTCACTGGGACCTAAGTATCTCTGTCTTCACGGCAGTGCCCTGGGCTGGGCCCTTGCTCCGGAGGCTCCCCACTTCTTCCAGAGCGCTCGGGGAGGTGGGCAGCACAGCTAATTTTTCGAAACCAAATTAATCCCTGAACATCTGGAGAGGGCCCAGCTGTCACTGTTCTGGAATCCAGCTCCCGGAACAATGGGTCTCACCCCTCTGCCCTCTCTTCACTCCTTCCCGGTAGCTGGGCCGGGCCTGCTTTGTGCGGCCGGGCTGGGAGCTGGGGACACAAAGAGGCACCTGTCAGGCACATTTGTAGTCTACGCCCCTTGGGCCTGCCCACCCAGAGTCGCTCAGGCTGTGACCCTGGGATGAGAGCGTGGGCTGACAGGGAGGGGACATAGTCACCGTGCTTGGGAAAGGGAAGGATGGGGTGTTCAGGGAAGGCTTCCTGGAGAAGGGGGCATCTTCTTGGAGCCGAGAGGATGAGGAACCCCCCGTGGGGACTGCCTGCCTTGCCGGCTTCCTGCCCTTTGGGGCCTGCTGTCCCTCCCCTTCGTGGGGTCCCTCTGTGCTTCTCAGAGAGACGACCTTGTCTGAGCCACAGGCTGGCTGGCCCCGGGGGGCCTCTAGCCTCACTGGCTGCCGCCCTCTGCAGGACTGGCCGTTTGACGACGGGGCGCCCCCGCCTGGCAAAGTGGTGGAGGACTGGCTGAGCCTACTGAAGGCCAAGTTCTGTGATGACCCTGGCAGCTGTGTGGCCGTTCACTGCGTAGCCGGCCTGGGACGGTGAGCCGGCGGGGGCAGGGTGGGGCTCACGGGGACGTGGGGATCCCGAGGTCCACCTTGATCTCGGACGTGGGCGCTGGGCCCACATCACACATGACCACGGGGTGGGAGTCCCTCCCCAAGTCTGATCCCCCTCCCTGCTGCTGGGGGTTGCCACTTTGTCCCTGTGCTCGAGCCGGAAGGAGCCGCCACCCACCCCCCTCCCTGACCTAAAAACCCATCCCCCCAACAGCCACGTATGACCGTAGTGACCTGGGCAGTGGCCCCCTGGTTTCAGGGCGAGGGCTGGCAAGCGGGGTTGATGGCAAGTATCAAGCCCTCATCCCAGGCCAGACGCACGCCCTGCTCGCCCCCTGGCTCTCCTGCGCGTTTACACGTGGGGAGCCTGAGGCGCAGAGAGGGTGCCCGGCCCACCTGGGGCTGCACAGCAGGTGGTGGGGCTGAGCTGCTGCCTGTGCCCTCCACAGAGGGGAGGTGCTGGACAGCTTTTTGGTGGATGTGAGGGTGAAGGCATCGCCCCGCGCCCTCGGCAGGCGGCCCGTCGGGGGAGGGGTGGGGGGCCGAGGCTTGACCCAGCCCCGGGTCTGTCCCCAGGGCTCCGGTCCTCGTGGCACTGGCTCTCATCGAGAGCGGAATGAAGTACGAAGACGCCATCCAGTTCATCCGACAGTGAGTGGCCGGGGGTGGGGGTCGGGGTGCAGGCATTTGGGGGTCCGGGCTTAGGGGGTCCTTATCCTGGACTCCCCACCCTTGCCGGCAGGCACTCCTGGCCCCTGGCCACAGGGTGACCTCCGAGATGCCCCCAGTCCCACACAGCCTCATTCTGTAGTATCGACGCATTTGTGAGGGCCCTGCAGCCAGGCCGCGTGCCCCAGCGGGGACCGGTCCCTGTGTGCGGCCCCTGGAGCTGGGAGTGTGGGGTGAGGAGGGGCCCCAGGCCCTGTGGTCCACGGTGGTGTGAACGCGGACAGGCTGCGGCACCCAGCAGGTCCAAAGCACAGGGACTCAGCACAGCTTAGACTCATCCTTCACGCATATGGCCCTTGGACGTGGTTACAGGGGGCTCTGCTCAGGGAGCCTGGGCCCCCAGGGGGGCAGCCCTTCTCCAGCGATGCCAGTCTCGGGGCCGGAGGGGCTCTGGAAGCTTTGCCTGCAGAGTCTCCTGCACTCCCATTTTGTGGGCCCCAGCAAGCGCGTGGCGACGCCTGAGGTCGTGGGTGGGTGGGGACGGTTGACTTCCTGAAGTGCTTGGTGGGCAGCCTTAGGGGTTCCCCATGTCCTATCATCTGAGGCCCTCACTCCCTCCCTGGCTGCAGGGCTGCCCGGGCGTCACCCTGTGACCCTGTAGGAGCCCGTGGCCTGGGGGTGGGGTGGTACCAGGTAAAGGAGGAGGGCGGGTACCATGGGGGGACAGGGCTCGGGAGCTAGCCTGCAGGAGGTGACCCCAGGCCGGGTGAATACTGGTAGCAGTGACGGCAGATACGGGAAGGGTGACATCAGCGCTGGGAAGGGCCCGGGAAGGGCCTGGAGGTGAGGCGAGCTCTGCCTGGAGCTCGCCGGGGCTGGGCAGGTGCTGAGCGTGCCCCCTGACCCCGTCTCCCCAGGACCCCGCGGCTGGCTGGGCAGGTGCTGAGTGTCCCCCCCCCCCCCCACCACCACTGACCCCACCCCTGTCCTGTCTCCCCAGAAAGCGGCGTGGAGCCATCAACAGCAAGCAGCTCACCTACTTGGAAAAATACCGGCCAAAGCAGAGACTGCGGTTCAAAGAACCACACGCACACAAGACCAAGTGCTGTGTCATGTAGCCCAGGGCCTCCGAGCAGGGGCTCCGCGCCCGCTGCCGCCTCGCCTCCTCTCCCGGCACCTCGGCACCCCTGTGTCCCCTGGGCCCAGCTCACCCTGCGTGCCCTCTGCCGTCTCATCCCGTCTGGTCATCCCTGTGTCTCCGTCTGCCCGTGTCCACCACTTTGCGGACCTGCCCTTCCCTTTGTCTCTATGCCCTGCGTCTCTGCGTCTGGGCCCCGGAGCCCCGTCTCTCTCTGCGTCTCTGGGTGTCTCTGCCTCTCCCTGAGTCTGATGTCTCGCTCTTCCTGGCTCTGTGCAGCTCTCTCTCTGTCTGAGGCTTAGCTGGGGCGCCCCGGCCCGGCCCTCCCACACTGTCCCCTGGGCAGCTTTCCTCTCAGGCTCATTTGTTAGGGGTCAGGTGTATTTTTTAGCCACTGGGCCTGACCCCTCCTCCATCCTGACCTGTTCTTGGCACTTTCAGTTACTGGGTCTGGAGACTGTCAGATGTCCTGGACACCAAAGGCAATAAAATGGGACTCTGTGGCTGTGTGTGCGTGGAGAGTGGGGTGCGGGGCCGGGCGGGGTGGACGGGGGTGGGGTGGGGGGGGCGCCTTGGGAGACTGGGTGGGGCCCCGGGAGGCCACTGCCCACCCCCTGACCCCAGGCCTTCCTGCTGGCGGCACTGGGGCTCCCCCTGGTGTCTGTGCTGGGTCCCTGCGCTCCCTGGATTAGGGGCCCGGGACGCATCCCTGATCCAGCAGAGTGAGCTCCTCTCTGATGTGGCCTGTGTGGGGCCCTGCCCAGTTGCCTTGCCATTTTGGGGGGGGGGTGGCAAGGCCGGGTCACCAGGGCCGCTCCTCTGCAGGACAGACGGGGAGTCACTCGGTAATTCCTCAGGGCCTCGTGTCCAGTGGGGCGGCTGCTCCTGCCCCCACCAGGTGCCCTCATTTCGGCCTCAGAGGCCGGGAGAAGGGTGCAGGCGGTGGTGGCCACTTGGCTGAGGTGGAGGGACGCCCCATGCCATCAGCGCAGGGTGGGGAGAGGAGGCCACAGGGACACGGGGTGAGTGAGTCTGGGTGTACAAGAGGCCGGGGCCGGGGCCTGCCTGGGACTGCCATGCTCAGGTCTCCCAGAGCTGGGGGCCCCTGCCTGGCTGAGGAAAGGGGCACGGCCAGAGGAGGGGCCCAGGGCTGGCCTGGCTGGCTGGTGTGGAGCGTCTGGGGGTGGTCTGTGCCCGGCAGGTGCTGGGAGCCACCTGTGGATACCACCCGGAGGCCTTCACGGATGGCATTTCTCCCAGTGGGCACTGGGACCCAGTGCCCATCTTAGGGGTCACAGCACCGGGCCTGGCATCCAGGCCACCCCATCCTTGCGTGTGCCTGGCCTGAGACTCCCTCCATCCCACTCTGGGATGGGTCCGTGGGGGAGGGCTTACCTAGCTGTCCGGATGTCACCCCTTGTCTCCTTCCCAGGTTGGAGGCACACCCAGAAAGGGCAACATCAGGGCCTTGGCACAGATTCGTGTCCTTGGAGGCAGGCGTCCCCCGCTAGGGGCCATCCCGCTAGTACTCGAACAACAGGCCCCGGCGAGGGGGGCGGTCTCTGGGGGCTGCTCCCTTCTCGGGGACCGGGGGTGTGGCCAGCAGGGACACAGGCCCAGTCCCTCAGTCTCCCCACTGGCCTGGCAGTGAACGGTTGACACTGGTGTCATTAATAGGGCACCGCCTGTGTGCCCGGCTCTGTAGAGCCCAGCTGCCCTGCTAGTAGGAGTTGGGACCCTCCCTGGTCCCAGACTCAAGGCTTGCCTGGCACTGTTGGCTCCAGGAACCCACCGGGTCCAGGCCCACCCAGCTCCAAGCTTTCTTTCCCTGAAGCAGACTTCCCGGAGGAGGGTGTGCAGGGGCCAGGTGGTGAAGCGGGTGGGTGAACCCAGGGAAGGTCCCCCTTTTAGGGGAGATCGTACCCGTGCCCAGAGACCACACCCACCAGGCTGGAACTAGGGGACCCTGTAACCTGCTCCGTGGTCCTTGAGGAGCACATCCCCCATGCCCAGCTAGGGGGTTGGAGCACCCAGGGAGATCCGTGCACAGGATGGGAGTTGTGAAAGGGAGAACCACCCCAAAGTCGCTCCTCAGGGGGCTTTATTCGGAGACGGACAGACGGGTAGGATGGGGGCCGCAGACCCCAGCCCTCTCTAGGCTCCTGGGTGGAGGGGGCCCCCAGCTCTATGAAATGGAACACACCTGAGAAGGCTAGTAAATGCGTGCTCCAGGAAGGTCGCTGTATTTTTTTGACGCACCATCCAAGTTTTGGGGCCCCCTCTGTGCCAGCCCTGTGCACCCGCATCCCTGCCCCAGGGCGCCCACAGTCTGGGGGGGGGCGGGGTGAGACAGCCTGGGAGTTTGGTGCAAGGGTTGGGGGGGGCGGCTCAGGCTCAAGGTGGGCTGAGGAAGGGCTGAGAAGGGGGCTCCCTCTGGGGGGGGGGAAACCAGCCCGGTCCTTTAAGAATGGGGCCGCGTGGCCGCCCCCGGGGGGGGGAGTGGGGGAGGTGCTCCGGATGGAAGGAGCTTCCTGAGCAAAGGTGTGGAGGGGCTGTGTGCGCACTTGAGACACAGGGTAGGTGGGTGGCCGGCTGGTCGAGTGGGGGGTCCTGAGAGACTGCCTGGGACTCAGGCCCTAGGAGGAACTTCGACAGACCAGGGAAAGGCCCATCTGCCCATTTCACATGTGGGGAAACCAAGGCTGAGAAGGGAGGACCTGGCTGAAGGTCAGGCTGGTCTCCAGGTGGCTGCATGGGAGGTGGGGGTGCTTGCCGGAAGGACCGTCTTTGGACTCAGTCCTGTGAGGGGTCCGGGGAGGAAGGTCTTTCTGCCCATTTTACAGATGGAATAGCTGAGGCTCAGAGAGCTGAGACCCTTGCTTCGGGCCATACACAGCTCACCCAGGCCCCGCTGGGAAGGTCTGGCTCTGGCCCAGCCCTGACTGGACTCCAGAGGCAAGGGGTCATGGTGGAGGGAGACCTTGAGTCACCCGGACTGAGGGAGACCAGCCAAAGGACCGTTTCCCCACGGCCCGCTCCCCAGTGACTATTAAGCTCCAAACCAGAGACAAACTGAAGACTCAGGGGTGGGGGGGGGGGGGGGCTTGGTAAACGGCTCCATTCCACGGTGGCTGCCCTTGAACAACCTCCTCGGTACTCAGACCCTGGCGGACCATGGCTCCACCTGACTTCCACTAGCTGTCATTTGCAGGACCCTGCACAGACTTCACAGTTTGCCTCTGGGATACCTGGTCTGCCCCCTCTACTCTAGGCCTGTCCCTGTTCCCTAGTCCTGCCGGGGTCCCGTGGGCTTGCCTCGGTCCTCTGGGGTCACGAGATGGCGGGCAGGGAGCTGGCAGGTGTGAAGGTTCTTTGAATCTACATCTTTTTTTCAAATGGAAACATCTTATGCATCCAAGCTCCGTGTGGACGGGGCAGGGTTGACCAATTCGGTGGGCACAGGGGAGGAGGAGGGTGAGGGAGGACGGCTGGAGGTCACTGCGGTCTGGCGGCCATCTCCTGAAGGAAAGACAGCTGCCTGCTGGCAAATTCCCGGATGCCGGGCTCTGGGTCTCTTTTGAGATCTTCAAAAGCTCCAGGGGAGGAGAGACAAGTCAGAGGTGCCCCGGGGTCCCGTCTGCCCGCAGCCCCACCCTGGTGGAGGGAGTCCGAGGGCCCATGCTCCCGGAGAGCAGCCCCTCCTTCCAGCAGGGGTGGGGGCGTGGCAGGACCACACCTGGACCCCACCTCCTCTGCCTCCCCAACCCCACCTATTCCTCGCCCCTCACTTTTGGGTGCCCACCCACAGCCTTACTTTATTGGAGCCTCAGGTGGAGTGGGTGGGTGTGAGCCCCATCCCACAGGTGCCCATCTCTACCTCTGGAGGTGTGGGCTGGGGGTCCAGGGCGGGGGGAACCTCCAGAGGTGGGGTGGGAGGTGTGGGCTGGGGGTCCTGCGCCGGGGGACACGGGCTGCTTACTGCAGAGCAACAGGTTTGTGTCCATGCTGTTCACCACCTGGGACACGGCCTGGGGGTGGTAGCAGATGTTGTACCCTGCGGGACAGATAGAGGAGCCCGCCAGTGGAAGAGGGCTCGCTGGCGGGTGAGCGTCAGACCCTCTCCAGGCCTTCCGGGGCCCCTCACCCACCACCTCTCCTCTCCTGCCAGCAGACCCCGAGCTGCGCTTGCAGTAGCCTGGCAGGTGCTGGCGGGCCGGACCAGGGCAGGAGAGGGTCAGGATGCTCAGGCAGGGCAGGCAGGAGGGTCCCGGGGCCCGGCCGCCCCTGCTCACCTATGAAGAGCGCAGCCCAGGTCTTGATGTGGTGGTGGCGGCTGTGCAGGTAGCTGAGGGCCTGCGCCAAGTGGATGCTGAACTCCTCCTGGCTGTGGGTCATCTGGCCGGAGGACAGCGTGCCCTGCTTGCTGGAGCAGGGACTAGTCCAGAGCCCCAGCCCAGCCCCGCCCCTGCCAGCCCCGGGGGGCTGCGGGTGCGGTGAGGGACACAGCGGCGCGCCAAGCCTGGAGCCTCGCTCCTGGCCCCGCCTCCCGGCCCCGCCCCGGCCCCGCCTCTCGCCCCCTCCCCAGGCCCTATCAGGCAGGCCCCGCCTCCCGCCCTCGCCGGGGCCCCGCCTCAGCCCCGCCTCCCCCCCCAGGCTCCGCCCCAGACCTCTCCCAGGCCCCGTCCCGGCTCCGCCTCCAGGCTCCGCCCCCGCCCCAGTCCCCGCCTCCCTCCCAGGGGCCGGTCCCGCGCGCCCCAGGCCCCTCCTCACCAGGCAGGTCCAGAGGAAGTGGCGGGCGCTGAGGCCCCTCTCCCAGGCCAGCGTGCAGAAGAGGGTGTGCCGAAGCCGCCAGCGGAGCAGCACCGCGCAGCGGTACAGGGCGAACTTGGCTTGCTGCGGGGACAGCCGCGGGAGGGGTCACCTGCCGCCCGGGCTGTCCGGGCTGGAGGTGTGTCCCCCCCCCGCCCCCCTCAGACCACGAGCTTCAGGTGGGTCTGGGGCCCGATGCCGTCCTCCCCCGCTGTACTCTCAGCCCACCCTCGGCCTCTGGGGCAGCCCCGGCTCCGGCCTCAGTGCCTGGCTCCCGGCTGCTCCCAAGGCAAGTCTCCCATTCATTTTGGAAGCTGCCGCTCGATGCCTCTCTTCGGCCGCGCCGTGTCTCATTGGCCTCAGCACGGGGCACGGCTGGCACATGGGAAAGCCTGACCATTGCACCAAGTTCAGCGAGCAACCCGAGCCCCCGCCACGCGGCAGGTGCTGCGGACACGGCAGAGACTGGAACAGGCCGGGTCCTGCCCACACAGAGGGCGCGGCGGCACGCGTGCACGTGCGTAAGCGCTCGCATGCACGTGTGTGCGTGCGCGTGCACGCGCACGGGGCGAACCTCAGTCACGGACACCAATGCCGGTGGCCACACCTGCTGCCCGAGAGCAAGGCTGCTCCCTGCCGCCATCTGCACACCTTCAGCCCCGCCAGGGGGAAAGCCCGGCAGCGGGCACTCACCGTGACGACGGCCGGACAGCGGTCCTTCAGGTGCAGGAGCAGGGGCACCAGGCTCTGGTGCACCTGGGTTCGCAGGCCGATCAGCTCCCTGCCTGCCGCTGCTGCCACCAGGTCCCCGAACAACGCCATGGCCGCCGCCCGGATCCCGTCCCGCTCCTGCAAGACGGGGGCTCAGAGCCACAGCCAAACTTGCCTGGGGCCCCCACCCTGTGGAGGAGATGGGGCTCAGGTCCCTCAGCAGAGCCCTCTCACCAGGTCTGGGGCCCCTGGGCAGGGCCGTGCCTCCCTCTCAGGGCCCTTCGCGGGTCCCAGACCCTCCACCAGGACCTGAAATCACTTCTCTCTCCCTCGCAATCTCACCCCGACCACCCAAGTGTCACGAAAGTGATGTGTGTGTGGGGGGGGGGCGGGGCGTATCCCCCCTAGTTCCCCAGTGAAGGGAGACAGTCACTGCCAGCTTGCGGGGCGCTTCGGGAAGGTGCAGAGGGTGGGGCTGGAGGGCCTGAAGGGCGATGCTCTTCCAGCCTCGTGGAGACGGGGCCGAGCGCCACCTGGCGGCCAGTGGGCCCAGTGCGGCCCAGGTGCGCCGGGTGCACATCCAGGTGTGTCCGCCTTTGGGGCTCCTCTCCCCAGCCCCCAGGCCAGCGGGCAGAAGGGGAGTTGGGGGGGGGTCCCTCTGCCTTTGAGGACCTGGGGTAAGCACAGGAGGGGGGCATAAGCAGGGCACGTGCCCGCCTCCGCCGGGGCACACTCACGTCGTCGAAAAAGGAGCGGGCGTTGATGGCCACCAGAGGCTTTGCGCGGCTGCGCCGTTGGCGCCCAGGCGGTGCAGCACGTCCGACACGGTGCCCATGACCCGCACAACCACCTGCTCGCTGTTCTGGAAGAAGCCGTTGAGAAAGGCCGGCATCTGTCTTTGGAGCAGGCTTCCCTGGGGGGCAGGGGCGCCGGTGGGCCGAGCGTGCCAGGAGTGGGGGCTCCTGCGCCCTACCCCGGCCCTGTGGGTTGGACCCGGAACAATCTCAGGCCCTCCCTCCGATGCCCCTCCCCAGCCCCCGTCCCGGCCTGGGTGTCTGCCCGGCATAGTCCCCCTAACTCCGCTGGGATCCCGCCCCAGCTCTGCGCACAGGGCAGCTGTGCTCCTGCCCTGGTCTGCCCCCCAGAAGCTGTGTGGTCACGGACAGGGCTTTCCTCTCTGAGGGGGTCCTCCTGGGGTTAAGGGATATTAGCCCTGCGTTAGGTGGCTCACAGCTCCTTCTTTTTCCAGTCCCCATGCTGGTGAGAAGGCCCCCCACCAAGTCCTGGAGACCACTCTTCCCTTCCTCCGCCTCACCCTGCCTTCACCCCTGTTCCCGGCCTCCCAGTGGGCCAGCCAGGGAGGGCCCGGGGACAGGACGAGACAGGGTTGGTCAGCTGTGCACAGACTGAGGTCATTGGTTCCCTAGTCACAGGGAACTCGGGTGCACAGGAGATGGTTCCGGACCTCCTACGTTACAACGACCACTGTCCACTTGCACACTACTTTAAACAAGACCGAATTCATTCTCAGCCAGTTCTGTCTGTGCCTCTTGTTGGCCTGGTGCTCGTGAATTGTCCAGATGAACGGTTGGAGAGCAGCCTGTCGGCAAAAGGATGTTTCCTGCCGTTGGGCCCCTTATCAGTGATAGTGTGGTAAACCAGTGTGATTTTTACAACTTTAAAACAAGTCTTCAGCCACCTCATTGGCTTCCTGAGCTCTGTGGGGTTTTACAATATTAACTTTGCAGCAAACGACTCATTTCACAGTAACAAACACTTTCTGCACACCTACAGGGTACAGCCAGGGTGCTGGGATGGGACTCGGGTCCTGGCAGTGAATGGGCAGAATGGGACTCTAATGGGAAGGACCAGAAAACAAATCACGCATAACACAATGGGTGTCAGAGGGTGACGAGCAGTGTGAGAGAAGATAAAGCAGGGGATAGAGTGAGCCGTGGTGGAGGCCGTGGTGGAGGCTGGGGTTGTTACAGAATTTAAGTAGGATCAGAGAAGGTGTCACTGAGAAGGTGACGACTGAGGAAGTTCTTACAGATGTGCTGGAAAGGCAGTCCAGCAAAGGGAGCAGCATGTGCAAAGGTCCTGAGGCAGGAGCATGACTACCCTGTTTGTGAGCAGAGGAGAGACTGATTCACATCCTCACAGGAGGCTGCTGGCTGCTGGGTGAGCCTACACCGGAAAGGAGAAGGGGCAACCATTGGGACCAGGGAGGGGGGTGCAGTGGTCTGGGGCAGATGCTGGTGACTTCAGTGAGGGCAGCAGCGGAGTGGGAGAACAGTCGGATTCTGGGTTTGCCTGGGATTTCTTGATCGCCTGGACGGCCCCCAGGTTTGGGGTCCCCATCGGCCGAGATGAAGGTTGCAGGAGGTGCCTATTTGTGGGGGTGACAGAGTTTGCTGTGGATGTGCTGAGTTGGAGATGCCAGCTAGGATCTGAGCAGTGAGTCAAGGCTGGCGTTCAGGTCTGGGGTTGGGATGTGGATCTGGTGGGCAGTGGGCCAGTAGATGGCACTTAAAGATCGGAGAAGGCCAGCAAGGGAGCGGCAAAGACGGGGAGGGGGAATGGACAGGAGTCCCGGGGCGCCATCCGGTGCCCGGCCAGGGACAGGAGAGACCAAGGAAGAGGCCGCCCAGGATGTGGGAGGGAAACCAAGCGAGCGAGGTGTCCCGGGCCAAGGGGATGGAAAAGTCACACGGTCTGTGTGCTGAGGGGCCCGATAAGGGGTCCCCCGGGCGGGAGGTCACAGGGCACCTGCACGAGAGTGCTCGCAGGCTGGCAGTGGGGGTGGGGGACGCTGCCTGGAGGGCTCCCTGCTTTACTCCACGGCAGGCGAGTATTTCATTAAGCATTGTGTTCGTGGCATCGTCACACAACCTCCAACAAGCACCAAAGGGCTGCTGCCGGGAGGGCCTCCTGCCACAGCTGGCCGCGTGGTGTCTCCGTGCCTCCTTGCAGCCCGGGGCGACCGCGTGGCCAGTCGGACCGGAGCACCTGTGGGTCGTGCCCTCAAAGGGTGGGGTGTGCCTGCCGGCTGGAGTAAGGTGGTGGCCGCGCAGACCCTCCCAGGAGGGCAGCGCCCAGGGGCAGGGGTGCACAGCGAACAAGGAGGAGCGGATCAGGACGGCCGCGCCCCTGGAGAGAAACGCACGTCCACCCTGTTTACGCCGCAGCTCCCGTGGGTCTTGGGCACGTGCTACATTCTGGCCTCCTAGTACACGTGCTACCTTGCCGGTGCAGTTTGTGTTTGGCGGTAGGCGGAGGTGGCCACGAAGGCGCGCACCGGTGAGTGGGAGTGGTCCTGTGGGTCCTGCAGAGGGCGCTCCTCTGGTGTGGGGGCAGTGACCGCTGAAGACCCTCAGCCCTGGGCCCTGCCCCATCCCCGCCCGGTTCAGCCCGTGCCGTCCCCACACCAGCAGGCCTCCTTGGCTGGCAGTGCTCTGGATCTGCCTCGTTCCCCCAGCCCCGCTGTGGCCACCGGCTCCCACCCCACTCGGGAACCATGCCCCCTCCCTGGCCCTGGCCGTCCTGGTCTGGCAGCCCTCCTCCTGTCTTGTCCACTCTCCACGGGTCCCACCTGGTGTGGGGCATAGAGGAGGCACACGGAAGCGTCCTATGACGGGCCTGCAGGAACGGCTGGAGACGGGTGTGTGGATGACGGACCACTGACCCACTGACGCACTGATCCACTGACCGACTGACAGAGTGAATGAATGAATGATAGAGCAAATGGGAATAATGGAGTAAGCGAATAACATATAAAGAGTGAACAAAAGGAATAATGAAATAATGAGTCATAGATGAAGGGCCCAAGGAGCAAATGGATGCGTGGATGGGCAGGTGGGTGGATGGGTGGCTGGATGGTGGGTGGATGGATAGATGGATGGATGGATGGATGGGTGGGTGGGTGGATGGATGGATGGTGGGTGGGTGGATGGTGGATGGGGGGATGGGTGGATGGACGGGTGGATGGACAGATGGATAGATGGATGGATAGGTGGATGGATGGATGGATGGATGGTGGGTGGACAGGTGGGCCGATGGTGGATGGGTGGGTGGATGG